GTAGATATTTTAAAAACAAATCCCTTAGTGTTCAACAATCAACCTTTTTTTTTTTTTTTTTTTGCTATTACAGACAGAAACACAATGCCCTGATTTCAAATTGCCATTATTCCACATCATCTATGCAACCATGAACTCTGCTCACCATAGCTTCTTGCCTCTTCTGGTTTCTAAGGTCTCCAAGACATTTACTCTTCAGACAGGTAAAAAAGTGAAACAAGGATCAATCTTAAAATGTTTATGGTCATGAGAAAAGAAGACCATCTGCTCTGAGATAGCTCTGGGCTGATTTTCCCAGCAGGGGAGCCCAGGTTTTATAAACCTTATTCTCAATAAAAAAAGGTAGAGAAATTGCTGAGAATTAGTATAAAGTATTTTCAGGCCCGACAGCAGACTAAAACAATATATTTTAGAATTATATGTGGGTTTTTGGTAGTTGGATGATCTGTGCATTCAGGGTAAGTTTGGTTTGTTTTTTTAAACGTTTATTTATTACTGGGACAGAGAGAGACAGAGCATGAACGGGGGAGGGGCAGAGAGAGAGGGAGACACAGAATCGGAAGCAGGCTCCAGGCTCCGAGCCATCAGCCCAGAGCCTGACGCGGGGCTCGAACTCACGGACCGCGAGATCGTGACCTGGCTGAAGTCGGACGCTTAACCGACTGCGCCACCCAGGCGCCCCTGGTTTGTTTTTTAAAAGAGGACAGAATAAGGGGCGCCTGGGTGGCTCAGTTGGTTGAGCGTCCGACTTCGGCTCAGGTCACGATCTCGCGGTCTGTGAATTCGAGCCCCGCGTCCGGCTCTGTACTGACAGCTCAGAGCCTAGAGCCTGCTTTGGATTCTGTGTCTCCCTCTCTCTCTACCTCTCCCCCGCTCATGCTCTGTCTCTCTCTCTCTGTCAAAAATAAATAAACATTAAAAAATAAAAAATAAAATAAAAGAGGACAGAATGCTCCAATACCTTCTGGTTTTGAAATCTATTAGATGCTATGCCTACCACTATTTAGTCTCACATGCTCTAATTTTAAGTATGATCTTTATGAACCTATTTATTCTGGATCAGCAAAGCCACCAACAGAAAATGACAGCTCATTGAGAATAACTCTTCATCATCCTTTTGTGCTGAAATGCCAGAGGATTTGAAAAGTAATCCTCTGTTTTCTCCTGTGTTCTTTCCTCGTGGACCTCCCGTCTCCCCAGATCATGTCCCTGATGCTCCCATATCAAATTGATTTTTATTTAACAGAGGCCTTTACCAGCTCCACAAATAACTGCACTGTGGTCTTTGAACTATTATTCCTAGTGCTCGTTTTGCTTCATTCTTTGTTCATTTACTGTGTTAGAGCATTCATACTGTGGGATAGACAGGTGAGCATATTCTCAAAGTGAAAGACATTTTAGAAATTCCCAGAGGACAAGCTTAGCCAATCAGAGGTACATTACTTACCTTTGATTTCTTCCTACCCCTTTACTCTTATTCAAATAAAACAGATTTAAAAGCTTGTTTTCCTATACTTAAAGCACAAAAGCCTTTCTAAGACTGAGAGAAAAAAAAAATCCAGACTGAAAAAAAAAAAGCCAATTCCTTGAGCAGACAATGAGCCCCTTATGTCTGGTCCATATTTTCCCCATAGCTTTAACATAATTCTGTTCTAAAAATTAACTTCCACTAAAGACACTGATAGGAGACTCCTAATAATAATGCTTTGCAAGTAATGAGGAATGATGTCATTGGTAGATAGATGGGCTTTAGGACTGAGAAATGCCATTCAAAAATCTCAGACTAAATGGTGAAGTGACTAGTTATAAATAGCCTTGAGGGAAAAGAAAAATAACTGCTTGGCTTGATGAAGAGAACATTTCATATACTCTCATTTAACAGATGAGAAATCTAGAGCAATGGGGGCTCAGTGTTAAACGGCTACCCCAAAAGCTGGTTTATGGCAAGTCCCGATGCACAGCCCAGGCTAGTATATTCTTCCACCACCTAACTCTGCTGTAGGGAAACTGAACATTTCTCCCTGATCACACTTCCTTCAAGATTACACAACACCGACTCCCAACAAAATCAGTGCCCTCAAGAGATCTGCCAGCTGGTTTACCATAAATTGTTTCTGACCCCCGGAAGGTGGGCACCTGTAATTTGCAAGAGCTCTTTACTACAGCTCAGGTTACTGAATTGAAAATGATACAGTGCAGATTCTAAAGCAATGTGCTTATAATGAAAGGTCACCGGCTACACAGATGCACATTTCCATTTGCTATTTATTGTCCAAGTAACATATCCACACAGCTAACAGTGGCTTCCCCCATCACTTCCTATGTAAAGATTTTTAGGCTCTTCTCAAATTTCTAGTACTGCGGCATTTGGGGGAGAAAAGGACTCGACCCTTAAACCTTATTTGGCAACATGGCTGAACCTATTCACATAGCACATTAAGGCACCAGGTAACTTCTTTACAGTAGTTTGATGACTTCCTCTTAAAGTCTATCTAGAAAAAGAAGCCATGACTCTTGCTCAAAACAAAACAACAAAGAGTCTCGCCGCCATTAAAAGAAAATCAGGTAACCTGTAGTGTAATAGGGAATACATTGCATGGTGAAGCACAGTATTTCTAAAAACGCCAAGGAAGAATGAAAGGAATACGAGAAGAAACAAAGAGGAGGAACAAAAGCACATGCTGAGTGGAGTCCTTAGAACACCATTGACCAAGGGGACCTACTGGGTATAACATGATGCGTTAGTACCTCAATAGCTAAAACTCTTAGGTGCGGTCCAAGAAAGACCTCGTATATTCTGAGCTGTGCTCTACTTCAGCAAAATTCACTTCTGACATGATGAAACCATCCAACTTACTCAAAGCTGGCTTATTTCTTCCCCTCACACACCAACAGAACTTCCATGAGTTCATCACAAGCGTTATGAACCAAAGCAAATCATCTGAAGGAGCTTGGGGAGGGGATGCCCTAGGCATTTAACAAATGTAACAAAGGGCTATGACATCTGGAGTCCACTTCCAAATATTTCAGCATAAGCAATGTAATTTTATGCATTGGTTATATTTATCCCCTAAACCACTGTCAGTGGCCCTGATCACAATTTACTACCCCAGAGTGGTCGACTAGTGTTACATCAGAGGTATCCACATTTCAGTCAGCACTAGAGGTTTTGCCAATTGGCATCACGAAATGGGTTTTCATTGCTGAAGTCAAAATCAGTGGCTTCCGGATTGGCATAATGGGTGTAATAAACAAGCTCTCGTTGTTGAAACTAGTGGTATTTAAGGTAAGGAGGCAAAATCAATTTAGAGATATTCTTTATTCTGGCAAGAACAGGGCTTAAGAACCTAGGGAAGCCTTGGGCACCTGAGTGGCTCAGTTAAGCATCTGACTCGTGATTTCAGCTCAAGTCATACTCTCACGGTTTGCAAGTTCAAGTCCTGTGTCAGGCTCCACGCTGACAGTGCAGAGCCTGCTTGGGATTCTCTCTCTCTCTCTCTCTCTCTCTCTCTCTATTTCTATCTGCCCCTTCCCTGTGTGTTCCCGGTCTCTCAAAAATAAGTAAACTTTAGGGGCGCCTGGGTGGCTCAGGCGGTTAAGCATCCGACTTCGGCTCAGGTCATGATCTCATGGTCCGTGGGTTCAAGCCCCGCGTCGGGCTCTGTGCTGACAGCTCAGAGCCTGGAGCCTGCTTCAGATTCTGTGTCTCCCTCTCTCTCTGACCCTCCCCCATTCATTGCTCTGTCTCTGTCTCAAAAATAAATAAAACATTTTTTAAAAAATTAAAAAAAAAATAAGTAAACTTAAAAAAAAAAAAAAGAATCTAGGGAAGTCTGGAATTTCTACTCTCAGGACTGGTACCTGAGGACCAAAGGCTCAATGGCCTTATATCCAGCAGCTGGGTCAAGGGACCCTGTTGTTAGATGCCCATTACAAAGGCGAGAGAATCCTGCCTCTGTAAAGTTGTTAGGTCACTGACCTCGAGTGGAATTTGCTGAAACGATCTGGCTGGAGGCCAGAGAGCAGGGATTTGACCAGGACAGGACAGGTTTACAGGACAGGCTACAGGAATGCTTTGTGCCCATTTGCTGGTACATGTTTGCTTACTGAAAGTCTGTGTGCAGGAGGCAGACTCGAGGTGTGTGGGATTAGCAAGCTTTACCCAAAACCTCAGCCACTCTTCTGTGGCTACTGCTATTTGTTAAAGAGAACCTAAGACTGGAGCATGACCAAACTGTCATAAGAGTATTCTCAACAAATATATAACACAGAAATGTAACCCTGGAGCCCACCCTCACCAAGTCTCAATACCTTAGGAGTTGTACACGTCTGCTGTTAAACACAGCCATTTTTATGAATTAATAATATCTAAACTGTGGGGCACCTGGGTGGCTTAGTCAGTTAAGTGTCCCACTTCGGCTCAGGTCATAATCTCGCGGTTTGTGAGTTTGAGCCTCGCCTTGGGCTCTGTGTTGACAGCTCAGAGCCTGGAGCCTGCTTCAGATTCTGTGTCTCCCTCTCTCTCGCCCCCCCCCCCCCCGCCACCCTCCGCTCGTGCAGTGTCTCTCTCTCAAAAATAAACATACATTAAAAAAAAATTTTTTTTTAAACCTGATTCACTGCCTAATTATTTTGTTATATTTTACTAGGGCTTATGTCAATTTCATCTCTATGGTAGAAAAACTATGTGCATATGCTCTACCAGGCATCTCTTTCCACCTCTGAGGTCAGTTTTGTCACAGCAGTACTTGAAATTGGCTGTGGTAGGAGTATCCACAGAAACCAGCAAATGCTACGTATCAGGGTTTTGTTTGTTTTCAGGGCTGGTTGTTAAAACCAGAACTCCGCTGGTATGGATGGTCTTGAATTCATAGACCAGACTTTGCTTCCTCTACGAGCTTCAAATATACCAGCATATGTAAAACCCCACAGCCTCATTTTGCACAGAGGAACCACACCACCATGCACACCCGCCGCCTGGGACAACGGGACACACTCACTTTTGAAGCAGCTGGGTCCACTAGTCTCTGCCGATGTCGGGCGGAGGTGAAATGGCTCTTCGGAGGCTGCCCTTCCTGACAGTGAATGGAAGATGGGAAGGGGAGAAGGTGGGGTGTGGGATGATGGCAAATGGTCAGAAAAGGGAGAGGGACAGCGTTTAACGGCACTGTAGTTGTTTCTTTTAGCTGATATCCAATAGCAACAACACCACGTTTTCCCCCACAGAAGCACCTACCATGTTCAAGTCCTTTTGTTAAAATGAGCCCTATATATATATACACATGTGAGTAATAAAGTTATCAACACAGCCCAGTATCCAGGCATTTCCCACCAAATCTTCATTTTTTTTCCCTTATCTGCTACTGTCTCTAATTATATTCCAAGGATACCAAGGAAAACTGGAATGTGATTTCCCTGAGCACGAAGTCAATCTTCCTGGAATAACAAAAGGCATTCAAGGAGCATTCTTACAGTGAGACTTGCCACCCCTTTGGGTATCACCAAAATGACACAGGAATCACAGTCTTCTTCAAAACCATGAAGAATCTGCGGCCTGTCTGCATCATCCTGGCAGAATGCCTGGCATCTGACAGTCACCAAAATCTCTGACCCTGAGTGCAATTAAATCTTATTGGCTCCAATCAAGATTGAGCATTAAGCTAATAATGTAATCTATATAGAAGGGTGGTCTTTCCTTAGTCCAGTCCTATTAATGCCCCTGTATATATACAGGACACATGGATCTCACAGGAAGACTTAATACTTCCCCCTTGCTTATTCTATGCCAAACATTTACAAAAAAAAAAAAAAAATTTAGAATCGGGGTCCACGTAAACTGTATACAATTTCACATCTCCATTCTTTCAAGAATTTAAGCAGCAAACACGATCCACTGTGAGCATCAACTGAAGTGATGATGAGATCAAAGCAAGAGAGAGAGAAGGTCTCAAAGACTCCCTGGTCTTAAAGCCCCGGTTCCATGAGGGACTAGGAAGGGAGCAAAACGCCCCTCATATGAATGTTAGCATTGTCTCCGACCTATTGACAGATCCCAGTAGAAGACCTACTTAGGCGAGAAGGCAGTATCTATATTACAATACTTATGAATTCTTTTTCTTCTAGGAGTAACAACTCAATTACTTTTAACATATGGATCAATCATAGCCACTTGAAATGCCAACAATCACTATTTCCAGTGTCCAAAGTAGAATGCTTACCTTTCAGAAAGGAAATGTCATTAAGTAGTGCACTGCAAGTCAGGATTGTGGTTTTCCTAGTCACTGCCCTGCCAACATGCATTCTTTCCCTACCCTGTTCTCAAGGAGTCCAAGGAAATAGTTTTGAATCTCAGCTGACCTAGAAAATATACCGAAGGTTTAACAACAAAAATGATGCTCATTAATCCACTGAATATTTGGCAAAACAAAAACAAATGAACAAACAAGACCCGAATATGATTTCCCACCATAAGGAATCAACGGTTTCACAGGGGAGATAGTTTTAGGTTTTTTAAATCACGTGATTATTTAGTTGGGTTTGAAAATTCTCCTTTAAATTTAATGGTTTATCAGAAAGTGGTGTAATGGTTTTTCTCCCTAAAAGAAGGCATTAGATAAAAATAAATAAATATCCTCATTAATATATCTGGAGATCTATGTGCCCTTATTAACCTCCCTAAGAAACAATGACAACTGATTTAAGAGTTCCAATGCACAGTGCCAGGCTTCCACTCATCAGGAAAAAAATTAATCTTGGCGTTAAATATACAATTACAGTCAATGTGCAAATTAACTAAATCCTAGGCCTGTGGTTTATTGCTCTTCTCTTGACTGCAAGGTGAAAGTGTTATTTTTTTTTAATTAGCTAATTGCACCATGAACTCAGCAGGGGGCAGATGTTGATATTAAAACTAGAATCTGAATCTTAAACTCCCTCCCCTGTGGAGGGGTTTAAAGAGAGTAACCACATCCTTCAAGGGGGGGGGGGGGAAGGGGAGGGTGTAGGTGGGTTTTGGAAACCTGGTTTCCATTTTATCTCATTTATCATCAAGTGCGATGAATCTGTGACAACAGTCTGCTTGCAGTGAACAAATATGTGTATGAAATAATCAATACATTCATACAGATTCTAGTAATACATCTTAATAGAAACCAAAGAACAGCCTGGAGGATTGATGTCATTTTAATGAATCGCATATGGAGTGAAAATAAAGGAAATGTGCACAGCTCGCACCAAGTTTTTCTCCATGTGACTCCTATCTTAAACTAATCTTAATTTGCAATAGAAGAGTCACAGTGTATTCTATCACGGGGCAGGGGTGGGGGGGAAGGTAGTGGTGGTCAGTTACTCAAATATTCTGCAATTAGTTTGATGACACTGAGGCCTTGTGGAAAGATGTGCATTGCCATGTCTTGGATAAAACCTTTTGAGAAGAATGTAATTCATTAGAAGCTAGACGTGCCTGCTTCTTCACTTTATGGAGACCTTAATTTAAAAGCTTGTTCTTTCCCATTTTCCAGTCTTGTTACAGGCCAGATTCCCTGACACATCCAGGGGAAATACAAACAACATGTCTTTGAGTACAGGCAGTTATATAAAGTCAATTATGAAATACTTGACATTTTTAAAAAAGTAAACAGGGCTCTTATTAACAGTAATACAGAAAACCAACATCCTATATATATATATATATAAAAAAATTCTAAGTATAGTTTTCCATGTTCAAGGAAAACAGTGAATTCTATCATTCAGGCCAACATTAAAGACAAAATTTGTGACTTTTCTTTTCCCAAACTTTGAGTCCCAACAAGTCATTTTTCCTCCTAAATGACGGCCTTCAGACTCTGGTATCTGTCATTCCAGACTGAGACATCAGTCTCCGGGTAGCATTTACCTCCTGGCTAATTCCATCAACATCAGCAAAATAACAGATTGGACCTGGGTGGCCCACGGGGCTCTCCACCGAGCAGCTTAATTTACATATGTAAATAGGGGTTCTTTCCTGCAAGGGAAGGGGGCGGGAGAAGGAGGGGTAGAAACCTCACCATCAGTTTTGTGGAAACATTATACTGCTTAGGTCAACTTAACCAAAATCCTTTTGCTGTGATAACCACCACTAATAAAAGTAGCAGCCCACGGTTATGTAAATAAACTATTAAAAAAATGACAAAGGAAGTGTTGACATGTGCATAATCTGGAAACTTAATGAGACACATTTCATCTCCATGCTAAATGCTTTCATCAAGGCTTCTCCTGTTAAGTAAGTCATTTTAGAAATTATAAACATCCCTTAACACTGCAGATCATACTTTTTTAAAGAAATTATTGTTCCCTGAACATTACAGATCTGATGGCATAGTACTTTAGCCTAATTTGCATCACACAAACACACTTACAAGAATGCTCTGTGGAAAACAATTTATCAGGCATGAAATAATAGGTGTCCAGTGAATTTAGTAGCTGACATCAGATGACTAAAATCACTAGTTCTTTAAGCCAGGTATAAGATCCTGTATCTCAAAATTAGAGCCACAAGAAAAACTTTAAACCAAGTATATCTGTAATTTTGGCATTAGCCCCATTATTGTAAAAACAAGAATGTACCATGGGACATTTCTAGACTCGATATTTTAATATAAGAAAACAAACACAATAGACATAATTGTGTGAAGGGCTCCCAGACGACCTCTTAGAAGTCTGTCCAAAACAATTTTCATTGTGGAAAGAATCACGTGCATGTTCAGCTAATAAACTTTTTCACTGAACTCGGACACATCCTTTTGTCTGTGATGAATAGATTTCACTCCCATCTGAAGCACTCACTAAACAGTCCACCAAAATACAGTGAAGTTACAGCCAACAGGTGCTGGCGAAGGAGCCCCTGCATGTCTACAAAGTAATCCAGCCCATGCAAAGTCAAGAAACTCCCCAAGAACAAATGGAGTGAAAGAATTCACAAGCTCAGGACATTTAACAATTATAAGCCTATCAAAATAAGGATCAAAAACCCAAATGAACATGTAATGCAAGAAATGTACCATTTGGAAGCGGAAACACATTTTCGATTATGACGTGGTAGGATTCTGAAACATATAGAACTAATCCCACTATAATTTATGAAAACCTCCATAATTAATTGCCTTGTGAAGATGGGAAGTAATCTTGTCAAGAGCAGGTGAGCCAAAATGGGGTAAAGGAAGGGATACTCCCACCTGTGAAAGCAAACCCTCACACAGGGGCTTTCTGACTTTTGCCACTGCAACGCTCAGTGAGAAATATATTTCATGTCACGCAACAGTCCATGACAATACTGCCAGCAAGGCACTCTATTTTCTCATCTAGTGTAGTTTCTTTTTAAACAAATGCCGGGGGCGCCTGGGTGGCGCAGTCGGTTAAGCGTCCGACTTCAGCCAGGTCACGATCTCGCAGTCCGTGAGTTCCAGCCCCGCGTCAGGCTCTGGGCTGATGGCTCAGAGCCTGGAGCCTGTTTCCGATTCTGTGTCTCCCTCTCTCTCTGCCCCTCCCCCATTCATGCTCTGTCTCTCTCTGTCCCAAAAATAAATAAATGTTGAAAAAAAAAAATTTAAACAAATGCCGGTCCCTAGCTACCAAATCAGATGGATTTGACGTACGGTTCAAAACCACACTAAGGACTTGGTACTTAGATGGCGATGAGATGGGAATCTTTAGACCCTAGCACTTTAGGTTGTGTCCCAAACTCCAATCATTCACTAGTAATTTTTCCCATGCACGATGTCTATTACATCTACTGTGCATGCTACTCTTTTAATTACTTTGAAAGATGGCTCCATTAAAAAAAAAATGAAATATTTCCATTTTTGACAATGGTCTAAGTCATACTATCTTGAAATTTTGGCTTTATACCACTAGTTACTTTTTTTCTTAAGAATTTCTTTTCAGGGGTGCCTGGGTGGCTCAGTCAGTTGAATGTCCGACTTCAGCTCAGGTCATGATCTCACAGCTCGTGAGTTCGAGCCCCATGTCGGGCTTTGACCTGACAGCTAGGAGCCTGGAGCCTGCTTTGGATTCTGTGTCTCTCTGTCTCTCTGCCCCT